CCCCCGGGGTTTGAGGACTTTGAGTTTCCCGATCACGTCTTCAAACTCAAGAAAGCGCTCTACGGTCTTAAACAAGCACCACATGCTTGGTACGAACGCTTGAGTAAATTTCTTTTGGATAGTGGTTTCCAAAGGGGAAAGGTAGACACCACACTTTTCATCAAGAGTAAAAACAATAACATCCTTTTGATTCAAGTTTATGTAGACGACATTATATTCGGTGCTACTAACGAGTCTTTGTGCAAGGAATTCTCAACGCTAATGACTAGCGAATTTGAAATGTCAATGATGGGCGAGCTCACATTCTTTTTGGGACTCCAAGTTAAGCAAATAAAAGATGGCACGTTCATTTGTCAAACTAAATACTGCAAGGAGCTCCTAAAACGGTTTGAAATGGACAGCGCCAAAGCCATGGCGACCCCGATGAGCACGTCTGCTCATCTTGACAAAGACGAAAAAGGTAAGGAAGTAGAAGTCAAAAAGTATCGAGGTATGATCAGATCTCTTCTTTATCTTACTGCTAGTAGGCCAGATATCATGTTTAGCGTATGCCTTTGCGCGAGGTATCAATCGTGTCCAAAGGAATCGCACTTAACCGCGGTGAAACGGATCATGAAATACCTTGTCGGCACGGTTAACGTTGGACTGTGGTATCCAAAAAGCTCTTCTTGTCATCTCGTCGGTTATTCCGACTCGGACTTTGCCGGTTGCAAATTGGACCGTAAAAGTACAAGTGGGACTTGCCACTTACTTGGTAGCTCTTTGTTTCATGGTTTAGTAAGAAACAAGTCAGTGTTGCGTTATCCACAACCGAAGCGGAATACGTTGTCGCCGGTAGTTGTTGTGCTCAAATCCTTTGGATGAAGCAACAACTCGTGGATTATGGCCTTAGTATCAGTCACGTTCCACTCCGTTGTGATAATACTAGCGCCATAAGCTTGACAAAGAACCCCGTTCTTCATTCAAGGACGAAACACATTGACATTAGGCACCATTTCATTAGAGATCATGTCCTCAAAGGTGATGTCGAAATTGAGTTTGTTGAAACACACAACCAATTAGCCGACATTTTCACAAAACCTTTAGAGAAAGAGTCGTTCTTCCGCATTCGTAGTGAACTCGGAATCCTTGACTCCACGATGATCTAATTTGTGCATTTTATCACTCTTTTTTCTGTGCTTGAACGTTTACTAACTTGAGCGTCGGAGGGTTTTCTAACTTTTTTTTGCAGGGACGGTTCGAGGTGAAGATTTCTGGAAATCAGGGGGAACCAGCGATGGGTGCGTTATACCATCGCTGGGAGGGAAGTCCTCATCTTTCCAGGACCCCTCTTCCCATCGATGGGAACCTTCTCCCATCGCTGGGTGTTTGACCTTTTTTTAAAAAAAAAAATTTAACAGATTTCCAGAACACCTTTACCCATCGATGGGTAGTTTATCCCATCGCTGGGTGAGTGCTTGCTTTTGTTTCAGAACCTCCCAACCCATTGATGGGAAGATCCTCCCATCGCTGGGTGTTTGACACTATTTTTTTAAAAATTCTTTAACGGATTTTCAAAACTACCAAACCAGCGATGGGATGGTATTAACATCGCTGGGGAGGCCATGTTCTTTTTCCAGTAGCCACCTTCCCATCGATGGGTAAATGCAAACATCGCTGGGAAGGCAGCCTTGGGTCCTTCCTCGCTTTCCAGTGGCAACCTTCCCATTGATGGGTAGATCCTACCATCGCTGGGAAGGCACCTGCATTTCGAAAATTCAGAGCCGTTGGGCACCACATTAATTGCCCAACGGCTATATTTTTGAATCCAAACGGCCTAATCTCCCATTCCCTATATATATCCCTCATATTTGCTCATTCTAATACACCATTAACATCATAATTTCATTCCTTGATCCAAATCTCAATATTTCTTCAATCCTTCTTCAAAAACGCCTCAACCATGGCCGGAGGAAGATCAAAGTCTAAGGCTTCCAAGAAGAAAAGCACCGCCGAACCCTCAAGCTCTGCGCCTCAACCGTTCCCCTACCTGGACGGATCGTTTCTTGAGTTCGGGTCGGAGGAGGAACTCAACCGGTTCCTCACGCACTTTGCCAAGCGTCCCATTTCTCCGCCTAGGGTGCTGCCCGAGTTGTACCCTCAACAAAAGGGGTACCACGACCTCGACAATCAGCTTCAAGCATCGGGTCTGTGGTCGTTCGTCTCCAGGAGCCGCTCGAGCTTCAATCCCGCCTTTGTGCGAGCCTTCTACTCCAATCTCCGCCG